GCTGAGCGAGGTGTGGGAGCAACACCGAGGGTTGCGATCCCGTTGCCGGTCCCGGTCCGGTACGGGCGCAACACTGAGGGTTGCGATCCGTTGCCGGACACGAAAAAAGACAAAAAGGAAAAAAAAAAGTTTAAATTCTGTAAGCCATTTATATGGTGCCAAAACAGTAAGACCATGTATACTCAGAGAAGTCTACCTTCCATCCCTGTCCTTTCCACCTTGGTCCCCCTACTACCTGTAGATAAATAATTTTTTATCAGTTTTTGGTATATTCTTCCATTGTTCTTTAAATACATATTTATAAGTAAATATATAACTATATACACAAATGTAGACATATACACGTATGTGCCTACGTATATGTATATCACACATATATACATATACACATATATGGGAGAGCCACAGGGAGGCCCTGCAAGTCACTAGCAATACATGGGGACACGTAATCCTCCTTCAGGAAGGGCAGTGAAAAATTGAGACCAACAATTCAAGTGACTGGTCTTCAGTCAATAACTATTCAGAAGTAGCTAGTATGTGCCAGGCACTGTTGCAGATGCCAGGTCAGCAGTGAACAAAACAGACACAAACCCCTGCCCTCCATTCTATTTGAGGAAAAGTAAAAACAAAACATATATATGTATGTATGTATGTATGTATGTATGTATGTATGTATGTATGTATGTATGTATGTATGTATGTATGTATGTATGTATGTATGTATGTATGTATGTATGTATGTATGTATGTATGTATGTATGTATGTATGTATGTATGTATGTATGTATGTATGTATGTATGTATGTATGTATGTATGTATGTATGTATGTATGTATGTATGTATGTATGTATGTATGTATGTATGTATGTATGTATGTATGAGTAAAGACCTAAAAAAGTGAAGGAATGAGCTGGGCAGATATCTGGTGGAACGATGTCTTGGGGAGGAGGAACAGCATATGCAAAGGCCCTGAGGTAGGAATATGTGTGCATGTAGGAAAACTAGAGAGAGGAATGGTGGGGCTGGAGCCAAGTGATGCCAGGGGAAAGGAGAGAAAGATGAGCTCAGAGAGGCAACAGGGTCTTGCAGGCTGTGGTGCAGACTTTGGCTTTTACCTTTAGGAAAAAAGCTGGGAGCACTTGAAAATTTTGCACAAATGAGAGAAGTGCTGTGGGATCCATCTGGTTGTTGTGGGGAAACAGATTTGGAACTAGGGTGAAAGCTTGGAGGCTGGTGACACAATCACTGCAAGAGATGCTGGCAGCTTAGATGGGAGTGGCAGCCAGGCAGGCAGTGACAGCAGGCTGCATTCTGGGTAAGTTTGAGCATTATTCTGGCCGGACCTGCTGCCCAATCACATGTAGGATATGAATGAGGAAAGTTCAGACACCGGTGAAGTTCAGGCCCACACAAGTAGAAGAACAGAAATGCTGGTGACCAAGAAGGGCAAGGCTGTGAGAGGAGGAAGGATGGGAGGAGTGTGCACTGGACTTTGGTTTGGGGCATGTAAGACTCATTAAATCTTCAAGTGAAGTGTCAAGGAGGTCAGAAAAAAGTCTGGGCTGGGTTTAAACACTTGGGAGTCATTTGCAATAGAAAATCTGAGAAAAAGAGGTGCTGACCAGAAAAAGGGGTAGAGAGGAAAGTTCTACAAGCAGAGGAGTCCACTTATGGCAGAGAATCTAATGTAAGGTGAAGCACCACAGGGATAAAGTCTGACATTTTCCCTCAAGCCTGAGGCACTTTGCCCTTTGTGGGCTTCTTACTCTATCAAAAAACATTAAAAAATTATATTTTATGACTGCACTGGTATAAAGATAAATATAATCCAGGTTGGGTTATATTTATTTTTTTCTGCTAATTTTAAAAGAAATGGTACCATTTTTGTGGACTCTTCAAAGTATTTTGGGCCCTCAGCACTGTTCCTTCTGTGTCTGTTGGAGAAGTCTAGGAATTGAGAGATCAAAAACCACACGCCAAAGAGCATGAACGTGATAGAGCTTAGGGGCAGGGGTCAGATTCAGCACGGTCTTGGAAACTGAGCAAACGATCTTATTTTTTTAGCTAAGAATAATGTGTGTGCTAACAGAGGAGAAGCCTCGAAGGATAGATACTTGGTGTAGCTACTGCCCAAATCCCCCTTCAAGGAGGGACCTGCTCCCAGCTGTGGGCTCTTTTGGACAGCCAAGGTCACTCTCCTCTCCCAGTGGCCTCAGGCCACTACGTGAGCAAAGAAGTGGTCAAAGGGCCTGGATGTTTGCAACCAATGTGGGAGTACTAGATGGGCAGTCTTTGATCTGGAGTTTATTGCTAGGCAGCATTGTGGTACAACAGTGCTTCCTGTACAATCCTGCTTTCTCCCCCTTCTCATTCTTCTTCTTTCTTTTGCCAATGTTACTCCCCAATAAACCTTTTACACTTCTAACTCTGTCTCAGTGTCTACTGACCCTGAACTGTGATACCTGGAAAAGTTAGACTAGAAAATCAGAGGAAAAGGAGGCAAGGAAGCTGCTATACAAAAGTTCATACAGTTGTGAGATAGACTCCAGCATAGAAATGGGTAAACAATACCAAGTGACCAGTCCCAAAAAAGATTGGGTAGCTAATGAATAGACATACAGGAAATGTGAAAACTTGCTGGATATTAAGGATATGCAAGTTAAATGAACAATATATTTCAATTCCTGGATTGGATATTGTGGTAGACAGAATTCTAAGATGGCACCCATTCTAAGATGCCACCTTATAGTGCTTCCTTTGTTACACCATGATTAGGTTATATGGCAAAGCTGAGGGGTTTTGCAGATGTCCCTCATCAGTCAGTTGGAAGCCTTTAAAAGAGAGCTTAGTTAGAGACTTTCTCCTTCTGGTCTGGAAGAAGCAAGCTGCTGTGAGTTCTACAGCTGCAAGGAAATGGATTGAGCCCACAACCCGATTGGGCTCGGAAACAGATTCTTCCCCAGTCAAGTCTACAGATGACAACGTAACCCACCGACATGATGATTGCCACCCTTGGAGACCCTAAAACAGAGGATCCACTTGAACTATTCCCAAACTCTTGACCCACAAGAACTGTGAGATAATAAATGCATACTGTTTTAAGCTACCATAGCTTGTGGTAAGTTTTTCCACAGCAACAGAAAACAATAGAGACAGACAAAGCTTAAAGAATGTGAGTCCCTGCTGGTGAGTGTGGGTGGCAGTAGCCTTCTCCACTGTTGGTGGGAGGGATATAAAGGAAAATTTCATAATATATGACAAAAACTACTTAAAATGTTCATATCATTCTCTCTAGAATCTAGGAATTCCACTCTAGCAGTTTTTCCTAAACTTGCTTCAGTAGTAACAATAGCAAATTTGCACTGAGGGTTTACTGTGTGCAGAGCACAAAGGTATTAGACAATGCAGTCTTCACACAGCCCTCTATATTACATACTCCCCTCCGATTTTCAAATGACCAAGTTTTAGAGCGTTTAAGTCTTGATTCAGTTCATGGAAGTAGAAATCATTTGTGGTAATAGAAGCTGCGTCTGTTTGAATCCATAGTCACTTTTAATCCGTTTGATTACCATCAAAATAAATCCAATAGTGGGCACATGGATAGTGATAAATCACATATTGTCAACTGTTAATTGTCTAATCTAGGGAATGGGGACATGGGTGTTCACACAATTCTTTTTTTTAAAAAAAGATGACCGGTAAGGGGATCTTAACCCTTGACTTGGTGCTATCAGCACCACGCTCACCCAGTGAGCTAACCGGCCATCCCTATATGGGATCCGAACCCTGGGCCTTGGTGTTGTCAGCACCACACTCTCCCGAGTGAGCCATGGGCTGGCCCACACACAATTGTTTTAAGTTTTTTGTATGTTTGAAAATGTTCTCAGTTGAATGTTGGGGAAAAGTAAATCCAGTAAATTTTTTTTGTTGTTCGTACCTCTTTGGCTGAGAAAATTACCTCTCAGTTGTTTCTACACAAACTATCTCTAAGCCACTAGCTTTTCCCTGTATTTAAACAATACTCTGACAAGAACACCAAGGCGGCCGAAAATAAATTTTAACCACAGGATAAGTAGTTATCTATCGCCCCCTTCAGGCCGGGCTCGGTGCTCTGAGGGGTATTTTTGAATTGCAGGGAGAACTGCGATAGGTTTCAGGCTCTTGTCTGCCTGTTTCCCGAGTGTGAACAGTGCGGATGCTTTTTCCTTTCACCTGTGGGGTCACTTTAAAGCCGGTGGCCTCGGGATCCTCCCCGAGTACCTTGAAGACTTTGACATCGAGCATTCCGAGTCAGCTCCCTTCGCTGCTGGTGGAGAGCGCCGCCGCCTCAGGTAATACGACCTACGGAAGGAAGAGGCGGTGCACCGCGCCGCACGGCCTCCTGGAAGTTGTAGGCGATGGAAGCGCACGCTTGCGCAGCGAGGAGGAGGAAAACACAGGGTGGACGCACGGGCGCAGTGGAGGGGAGGACGTCCGGTTTTGCCAGTGAGTGGCTGAGGAGAACGCGGTGCAAATCAGTCTGAGGGTCAGCGGCGCAGCCGGGTGGTCCCCAGTCCTGGCTGACGGGCCCAGAATCGTGGCATCGGCTTCGCGGTGGGCGCTCGGGCGCCTCCTGTGACCGGACCCGCTCCGGCCTCGGCTCCTCATGTAGGGAACCCGGCCTGGGCTGCAGGCGGCTCGAATCGGGGTCAATGCCTACGGCTGGCAATTAGTGGGGTGTCGTTCCCGGATCCTTCTTTCGCTGCAGGGGCCTCCCTCGTTCCCGCTCCGACCCTGAGCCTGCAGTCCATGGATCCTCCTCATCTTTTGCAACTTGCCGTGTCGGCCGCCCGAACCTGTCTGGTGGGCACCCTGGCTCCAGCCTCACTCCCGGGGCCTAGTCCCCCTTGGCAGTCGGCTTGACCCGCCCTCTGCCCCCGCTTGGGGGGTCTACGAACCCTCTTCGCCTCCTGGAGTAGCTCCCGGGGTCAGGAGGCATGAAGGATAGGGACGGAGGCTCTTTCCGTTAGTCTGTCGGTGCTGTTGATTCCGTGGCTGTGGAATGTGAGCCCCGGGGAAATAAATGGAAGAGCAAAGACCGCGTGGCTCCGCTGGGGCATCCGGGAATGCCTCTTGGAAGAGGAGACCAAAAAGAAGGCACGGCGTCGGATAGTTGGACAAGGGCCTAGAGGGCCTTTCTGTCAAAAGGATCGGGGTGAGCAAAAGTTGATGCGGCTCTTCATCTGTTGGCGCGGGTGAGATGTGGCACAGGTCAGTGAAGGCCTGATAGTGTTGAGCTGCCGCGAAAGGCCTTTCCTTTTCCTTAAGGAAACTACAGCTTAATGTTCATAAAGGTGAAGAAGAATCACTGAGAGGCTTTAAGTATTTGATAGACCTGGTGATGAATTTATGTATTCCAAAATCAACATTCTCCCAGGGTATGATGGGTTAGAAAGGTAGGTGGCCACAGGCAAGGAGACCTGTGGAGAGTGAGCATGAACTGGGGCAGTAACTTCAAGTGTCGAGGACACAGGTAATCTTTGTTAAAGAGAAAGAAGTGTCTTTATTGTCAGGTTGGATATGTGGCCTGGGGTAAGGGTGTCCACTCTCAACAGCCTAGAGTACTACTTTCCATCCTTCCGCTGTGCTCACATAATTATTCATTTGTACATAATCAAAGTCTTTGGTTTTTGGTCATTTTTTTTAAAATCCCTTTCTCTGCAAATTACCAGTATATCATGGATGTATTTTCAGGCCAGGAGACATATCTATAACTCATTCTTTTAAATTGACTCTATTGCGTTCTTTTTATGGGTGTATCACAACATTCCATGTTTTTACAGTGTGTGGCTCCTAGTTTTTTGCCGCTACAAACGGTACTGTAGTAAAGATCCTCGAGTGCACGTCCTTTCACGGGATGGATTCTTACAGGTAGAGTGTCTGGGTCAGAGGATGTGTGTGTGTTTAGCTTTTAAAGATACTGCCAGATAACTTTCCAAGCCAACAAGTACCAATTCATCTTCCCATTAGTGGCCATGGCAGCTTTAGGTATTAGCTTTCCTTTTATTTTTGCCATTCTGATAAGTAGGAAAACATTTCTTTTTATTACTTTAATTTGCATTTTCTTTATCACCAATAGGCCTGATAAACATTTCATATACTTAATAACTATTTGGATTTCTTTTTCCTTGAATTGCCCATTCAGAACCTTTGGATCCATTCTATTATCAGTTTATAGAAGCTCCCTTTTTGTCTCTGTCATGTGTTGATGTGTTGCTCTTATGTGTTTATGTTTTCTTTATATTTTTTGCATGCAAGATTTTACAGTTATTAGACAAATATATCATTTTCTAAATGCCTGCTGGGACTCCTATCCTGATGTAGAAGGTCTCCTACTCCAAGATTAAATAGATAATACCTGAACAGGGATTGGCAAACAATGGCCTCTACGGGCCTCCAGTTTTTGTAAATAAAGTTTTATTGGAATACAGCCACACCCATTTGTTTAGTATTATGTATGGCTGTTCACTGGTAGAGTTGAGTAGTCATGACGGAGACCTTAGGGCCTGCAAAGTTGAAACTTTTTTATTGGGCTCTTTATAGAAAAAGTTTGCCAACCCCTGCCCTAGAAGAATATACCCTTGTGCCAGTACTACTTAGCACTAAGGGTATTCCTTTCCCACTGAACTGAAAAAAATACCCTTATTGTTAACTTTATGCTTTTTTTTTTTTTTTTTTTTTTTAC